GAGAGATGGGCTGACTCCAATGGGATGAAGTTCAACAAAGCCAAGTGCCGGGTCCTGCACTTTGGCCACAACAGTCCCCTGCAGCGCTACAGGCTGGGCACAGAGTGGCTGGAGAGCAGCCAGGCAGAAAGGGACCTGGGGGTGCTGATCAACAGGAGGTTGAACATGAGCCAGCAGTGTGCCCAGGTGGCCAAGAAGGCCAATGGATCCTGGCCTGCATCAAGAACAGTGTGGCCAGCAGGAGCAGGGAAGTGATCCTTCCCCTGTACTCTGCGTTGGTGAGGCCACACCTCGAGTATTGTGTTCAGCTCTGGGCCCCTCAGTTCAGGAAGGACATTGAGGTGCTGGAGCGGGTCCAGAGAAGAGCAACGAGGCTGGTGAAGGGACTTGAGCACAAGTCCTATGAGGAGAGGCTGAGGGAGCTGGGGTTATTTAGTCTGGAGAAGAGAAGGCTTAGAGGTGACCTCATCACTCTCTTCAACTACCTGAAGGGAGGTTATAGCCAGGTGGGGGTTGGGCTCTTCTCCCAGGCAACCAACAATAGGACAGGGGACATGGGCTCAAGCTCTGCCAGGGGAGGTTTAGGTTAGATGTTAGGAAGAAATTCTTTACAAAGAGAGTAATCAAGCATTGGAACGGCCTGCCCAGAGAGGTGGTGGATTCACCATCCCTGGAGGTTTTTAAGCAGAGATTGGATGTGGCCCTTAGTGCCATGATATAGTAATTGGAGTTGGATCAGGGGTTGGACTTGATGATCTTGGAGGTCTTTTCCAACCCAATCTATTCTATGATTCTATGATACAGGGTTGGAGTTTTTAGGCTCAGAACTGCCCTGTTTTCCCAGAGAGCCACTGGATGGTGCTGAGCAATTCCTGAGTCCTGCAGGAAGGGCTGACAAGGTGCTACATTGAGATAAGCTGCTCAAATTACTGAAAGGACTTTGTGTATATTTTAGCTTGATGGATCTAAAAGGTTTGGATGTTGGAAACTGGAGCTCTTTCCTTGCTGTAGGGTGACTGATGACGCAGGGGCTGGGAGGTGACAGAGGGGCTCAGGGACCCGCTGGGGGAAAAACAACCCCAAACACACATGTGGGATGCTCAGACAGGGGCTGAAGGAATTGTTTCAGACAGACTGTCTTGGGTTCTTGGCTCAGTTTCTGCTTTTGGCAGTGCTGTGGAGGTGTCTGGGCAGGGATGGGATGGTGGCAGGTTGACAAGGTGCTTTTTTAAGAGACTTTCCTGTACGGGATAATCCATGAGAGGCCTTTACCCTTGGGGTTTTTGGAGGGGTGAGAATCAGAGTTTCTGTGGCAGCAGACACTCCTAAAGAAACTGATCTTTGCCTTCTTTAGATTTAAAAAACAAGTCAGAGGTACAATAAAATACCACATTAGGAAGAACATTGGAATTTAGCACTTGAATTAGTCTGTAACCTGGATTTGTGTGCTACTGCACCTCGGCTGTGAGGTGTTTGCTGTTCTACCAGATTTCCAGGAGTAAATCTTTGATTTTTTAGGAGCTGCAAACAGCAGGAAATGTGTTGGCTTTCCTTAATGATCAGCAGTTTCAGGACACATCCATCCTTTTCCCATTAAGTGTGGGCTTCCACAGTTTGGCTCCTGCCAGCAAATGAAGGCTGAGGTTGTCATCACCCCTGTTTCTTAGGGCAGTGGAGGGAGGGTGGTGTGGCGGTCAGACAGTCCCTATAATGGATAGGATTTCCCCATTGTTATGATGGGTTTGAACTGGGGAAAGCCAAAGGAATTGCCTAATTTATGTAAAGCCACAGCCCTTTAATCAGTGCCTTGGTACAGTGTGTTTCCTTAATTGGCTTTTGAAATGCAAATCTGTCTTTGATACTTAAGTGCCAGTTAGATCCTAAAAAGGGTGAAGGGTTGGGATAGCTCTTGCAAAACACAGATTAAAAATACATTTACAAAGTTCTGGGCAACTGTGGCTGTGATTCATCTTGGAAAGAATAAATTTGTGTGTATTTTAATAAAAAGGACAATGATATGAAGTGAAAAACATTCCCGAGGTGATTTTCCCCAGTCAGTACTTACTGTGGTTGGTTGAAGCATTCCTAAAGCTGTTATTGAGAGAACAGATACACAAGAGTCTGAAAGTTTGGACCCATTACCGGGGCACTGGATTTCTTCA